AGGAGGCGCGAAAGGATGGTCCGAAAACCAGCATCCCACCGAGGAGTGCCCATTCCCGGCTGGGAATAGACTCGGTAGCCGGTCAAAGTCAGTCCGAATCACGATTTGCAGACTTATCTGCCCTCTTGAGCGCCTGGCCGGGCCGGGCCATGCCGCGGCAGGGCTGGTGCCACTGCGGTCGAAGAAGGCCAAGAAGGGGCTGCTAACGACAGCCTAACGAAGGCCTTGTCTTGGCGTTCCGCGGCGCCGCGGTACGCCCTGCACGACGCCATGCCCGCCGCGCCGCAGGACCGCAGCCCTCGCCGCCGGTCTGTTCCCCCGCAGTATTTACTCCTCGATTTACACCTCGACGCCTCTGGATCCACTCGGCCGGTCGTTGGCGGATTCGTTTATAGACCGGGAACGATTGCAAATCGCTCGATTTCAAGGCAACGGCGTCACGGCCAGGGCCAGGGCCTGCTGCCGGCCGTGCAGGCCGAGTGTGCTTCGGGGTGTCAAACTGATGAGGCGCCCCGCCCAGCCACGCCCCGCGCCTTCGCCTCGCGACCGGATGGTGGTTTCCTTCAGCAGCCTTTCGCCGAGTTTGTGCTGCAAGTATTAGTGACGCAAACAGGCCAGGCTTGTTGGCTTGTTGCGTGCTGAGGGCTGAACACAGCCCCAGCGCGGGTCTGGCTGCCACATAAGTGATTCCCCTCGCAGTCATCAGGAATAGAGGCACAACATTTTTCTGGCAATGCATTGGCCTGCCTAAGTCATGCGGAAATCCTGATGACCAGTTATGAAAATGGGAACACCTTGCAATGCGATTAGCATTTTTTTTTCACACGATCCCAATATTGGGCTGCTTCCGCCATCCTGCTCGTTGGGTTTCGCGCTTCGCGCACCGCGAGGCTGCTTGTTGATCTGCCACCTGGGCTTCGCGGCCTGGCCATGGCTTCACCGGCCGGATGGGGAAGGGTGCATCCGTCATCGCGGACGCGCGGGCGGGGGAAGGGGGTGGAGAGGGGGAGGGGCCGCGGATGGAGATGAAAACGTCCTGGATGCCCCCGTCATCGCCAGCAGCGAGACCAGCGGGACGGATGGATGGCCGAGCCAAGCCAGCGCCTGCAAGCTCGGGGTAGGCAACAGGCAGCGCTGGTGGAGGTTGCCTGCACGTTTCTCTCCCTGGCGTATTGCAATCATCGTTCTGCCCGGCCCGCCCTGCTGCACGCACTGCTGCTGCCCCCCGGCGCCACGACGATATCGCAGCGGGCTGGCTGCAGGCTGGCGAACGGTGTTGGCTCCGTCTCTGTCACACTCATGGGCCTTCCTGTAGGGGTGCGAGGGAGGCAGAGCGACGAAGCGGCCTGCCGGCCGCGCTGCGCGGGCCGCGCCCCTCACTCGCCGGCCCCCTCCCGATCAACATGTGCCCCCGGGGGGTGGGGGCGTGCTGCGGGCTGGCGGCGGACGCTGTTGGCATGACCAGACCCACACGCCCCGCCGCGCGCCGCGCCACGACGCTGCAGGACGTCGAGGCCCACGAGGACGAGACGCGACGCGGTGCTGCAGTCCGCGCCCCGTCGACGCGGAGGCCGAACCGCGCACCGGTGTCGCGATGCCGGCGTGAGGACGCCCCGCCGACACGCCTCGACGCGGACCTCGGCGCCGGCATGCCGTCCGCCACGAAGAGCGCCACCGTCGTGCCGCCGGGCAGTGAGGCGCCGCAGCCATGGCCGTGAAGGACAGGAAGTGGCCCTCGACGTCCGGGCCGCTCCTCGCCGGCGTCCCCGGAGCCGCCGGGGCCAGGGGGTCCGCCGCCAGGAAGGGTACGTCGCCGTGGCCGAGGCCAAGCTCGTTACCGCCGAGAGGCACAAGTACGCCTGCTGGGCCGCAGTATTAATGCCGGGCTTGTTCCACGCGAAGGGACATCTCGACCGCCGGGCGGGCTATTTGTAACGACCTGCAACCAGAGGATCATGACTCGGCCGCGATCAATCTCGCTCTCAATACAGTGGGGCCGTTCTGACGCGGCACAACGCGGCACAACGGGGCACCAGGTGTCCCCCCGCCTCTCCGCCAGAACGCCGCAGTGCTCGCCAACCAGCGCCCTGTAAACAGAAAGACTGTCAACAGAAACCGTCCCGCCTATCCCCCGTGTCACTTTTAGATTTACTAGAGCAGCCTCATGGAGTTTGTCGTGTTGGCAATTGTTTCGCGGCTGCTGGTTCTCCCAGTGCTTCCAGGGCTGTGAGGGGCGAACCGCTTTGCAACGGTGGCGCCCTCCCGCCTGGTGGGCCGCTGAAATTTACAGGCCCGTTTGCCTTGTGTTTTCCTTGGGATCTGGCACGAATTTTTCTTCGCTAAAGTATAGGCGTCCCCTATTCCCCCGTTCCCGGCAACCCCCTGCGCCCGGCGGGCTGATTCCGAGCACTGTTTTCGTCGCTGTCTCTCTCGCACCCTTACGAGACGCCCTGCGAGTGCGAGAGAGACGGCGCGACGGGAGCAGTGCAGGCACCACGCCGCGTGATTCACACCTGGCCGACGACAGGTTGGAGGCCCTCTAGGCCCGCGGCGTGTTGAGTGGCGCGGCCACGCCGACACGCCGCGGACAATGCCAGACAGCCACTTCATCACGCCGCAGACGCTGCAGTAGCAGGCTCACGCCGAGGGGAGGTTCGTCTCTCTCTCGCCGGGGTGGTACGCCCCTCGAGTGAGAGAGAGAGACCTCCCCCAGCCCGCAGCCCAAACACCGTGCACCGGCCAAACGGCAGTCAAAGGACTCGCTGGGAGTTGCAGGCTGCCGATGGCCCGTCCGAGGACCAAGGCCGCCGAGCACCGCGTCAGCCCCTGATTGACGGCCAGGGTGGCGGCCGGTGGCGGCCCACCATCCGGATATGTACGAGTTATTTCCGCCAGTGGCCCGGCCGATTCCGAACACCGCTGTCGTCGCTCTGTCTCGCTCGCACTCGCGGGGTGGTCCGTAGCGGTGCGAGGGAGACAGAGCGACGTTGCGCCGCGCGGGGCCGCGCGTCGTTCACAGTTTGCATCTGCATTAAAACATCCCGCGGACGCACGTGGCGCGCGGCAACCTGGCAGCGTGCGTGCCTTGTAGCGGCGGGGCGGGGCGGGGCGGGGCGTGCGGGACCCCCTGGGACTCGCCGCCGTTTCCCCGCTATCCGTCAAGCACCGCCAGGGCCGCCAGGGCCGCCACCTTGCCCGGCAGCACCCCGTCCACGCCGTGCATGCCAATACGGCTGACAGCGACACGGTGCGCCACGCCCGCCGTCGGCATGCCGTCGGCCCGCGGCCCACATATTCTGCCGCAAAGTCATCGCGGAGGGAAAGGGGAAGGCGGCCACGTGCGGGGCGGAGGGGAGGGGGCGGGGCGGGGGGGACTCTCTTTGATCACGCATCGCGGCGGGGGCAAGTCGCGTGAACCGAGGCGCGGCGCAGCGGGACAGGGCGGCACGGCCAAGGCACGGCCAAGGCACGGCCCGCCGGCGCTCTGATTGACTGTCAACCAGAAATTGCCATTTTCCTCCCCGCCCCGCCGCGACTCATCTCGCCACCGTGTTGGCCGTGACGGCGTGGGCACCGCCAGGCGGCTAGCGCAGCGGTTCTCAACCTTTCTCGGCTCGCGACCCCAAATTTGTAGCCAAAAATTTCCGCGACCCCCAGGAAAAGTTTCGCGACCCCACGGGACCCCTCCTTTAGCATGCCACTGCGTCTGATCCGAGGCGGGCATTTTGCTCCCTCAACGGGCAATTGGTCTTTGGACCTTCCTTTAGCATGCCTCTGTTACGGAGTGCGATTATCAGTCAGTTTGGGAGCAGTTGGGTCGCGAAAGTTGGCCAAAACGCGTCGATTCAAAACAGTTTTGCGATCGATTTTAAGCAGCCACTGCGTCTGATCCGAGGCGGGCATTTTGCTCCCTCAACGGGCAATTGTCTTTGGACCTTCCTTTAGCATGCCTCTGTTACGGAGTGCGATTATCAGTCTTAGTTTGGGAGCAGTATTGTCTCAAAGTGGCCAAAACGCTCAGAAATGTCTTTAAAACCATGTTTTGGGTCGATTTTAAGCAGCCACTGCGTCTGATCCGAGGCGGGCATTGCTCCCTCAACGGCAATTGTCTTGGACCTTCCGTTAGCATGCCCCTGTTACGGATGCGATTATCAGTCTCAGTTTGGGAGCAGTATTGTCTCAAAGTGCCAACAGGCACAACGATTTTTCAAAGACATTACTGAGCGTTCGGCCAACTTTGAGACATACTGCTCCCAAACTAAGACTGATAATCACACTCCGTAACAAAGGCATGCTAAAGAAGGTCCAGACCATTGCCCGTTGAAGGAGGACGAAATACCGCCGGGTCAGACGCAGTGGCTGCTTAAAATAGGCCCAAAACACGATTTTTCAAAGACATTCGACCGTTTGGTAAACTTGAGACAATACTGCTCCAAACTAAGACTGAAAATCACACTCCGTAACAAAGCATGCTAAAGGAAGGTTCAAAGACCAATGCCGGTTGAGGGAGCAAAATGCCCGCCTCGGATCAGACGAGTGGCTGCTTAAAATCGCCCAATACACGACCCCAGCTACCTCGCCGCGACCCTTAAATTTTTCGCGACCCCACTTGGGGTCGCGACCCTAAGGTTGAGAACCACTGGGCTAGCGGCCAGGGGCAGGATCGGCCTCCCAAAGGGCGCTTTGCCCCATCGCACCTGTGTCAGGCCAACTCACCTTCTGACCGCTAAGTTCCCTTTTCAAACATTCGACCGCGAAGGACGCGAAGGGCAGCGCGAGGTTCCCGACATGACTCACACGAGGCGGAAGACTACCGGTGCACCGAGCACCGAGCCAGCTCGCCGCGGTGCACTCCATTTATTAGCGGCCGTTTTCGCTTCGTTTTCGCGCCGCTTCTATCGGGCTGAGCCGCCCAGCGTCCCGGGCCGCCATCCGTCTGTCAGACGGCCTGTGGGGACACGGCGCTGGCGTGCGCTGCTGCTGTCGGGGCGGCTGGGACGATGGGGTTAAGGAGGAGGCGGGCCGGGCGCTGTTTTCACAACCCCCTGCCCCTCCGCCTCCGCCCGGTGCTGCCCTGCCCTGCCCGGCCGGGGACGGCCGGCAGGCAAAACAAACTGTGAAGTGATTCGCATCGTCTGCACTTCTTCCCGAAGCCGCAAGGCTGCTGTTAATAGTGGCGGCCACCCAGGACTGCCGGACGGCCGGGACTGGCCGGCCAGGACGGCCAGGACCCCGACAAGGATTAATCCCATCGGCCGGCTGCGCGGCTCTGCGCGGCGCTGCGCGGTTTACACGCCACGGCCTCCTCGTTGAGCTTCCCTCGTGTTGCAGGCGGCGCCGCGGCCTCCACCCACGCCGCGCGCAGGCCCTCCACCGCGTCGCTCAGCAGCACCGGCAGTCGCTCCCGCTCCCGCCACGCCCCGCGCGTGCCCCGGCTGTACCTGCCCGGGGACGCGCCGGCCTCCGACGCCGTGCACATCCGCACCAGGCACGGCCACCACGGCCACGGCTCGGCGCGGCGGGGATACAACCACCACCGCGACAGGCACCACCGCGACCGGCACCGCAGGTCTCTCCGGCGACGTCCGAAATGTATCTCGTCGATCTTTGTGAAACCCTTCAACGTGTTCAATATTTGCAGGGGCAGCACGTTCCGGCGGGCGCGCCTGCCGTCCTTGCCGGCGGACTCGCTGGCCACGCCGGGGGACCGCGAGGACAGGCGCGGCGACCGGCTGGACCGGCGCAGCGAGCACACCCCGGACGCCGGGGCGGACCGACGGAGCCCCTCGCCGGACGGCGGCGGCAGGGCCAGAGACCGCGGGGGCAGCCTATCCGTACTCCAGGACGCGGCACTCGACGGCGTCCTCGACGACGACGACTTCCTCGGCCGCCACGAGGACGAGGACAGGCAGCGCAGGGAGGACGACGACGACGACGAGCTGCTGCGCAGGCAGGACGAGGAGCGGCGGTCGCTAGAGTCCTGGAGCTCGTGGACTACATCGTCGTCGTCCAGGTCCAGCACCTCCTCCGGCGCCATGTCGAGGGAACGTGAGTGTTTCTCTCTGTCTTCCCCCTCCTCCCCCTCTTGGAGCGCGCCGCAATGTGCGCGCGGTAACTCGCTGTCTTTGTCTTTGCGCGATATCGGCAGTCTCGATTTCCCAGCGGCGTTGCTCCTCGCTCCCGGCTTCGCCCGCTTGGCTCGTCGGCACAAACACGATCGCGCTCGCTCCGCCAAGAGCATTACTACCCGCCTACACTGTAAAGGCGTACCTCTGCACGCGGAAAGCAAGTAAAAAAAATCTCATTCAACGAACGTTAATGAAAGCAGATGATCCGTCACGTTTCACAACTGCTGTGATAGCCGAGAGGTTAGAGACGTGGGATCGAGTTACCGCAGGCGGCGTTCGAATACCAGCGTCACAAAAGTTTTTTCGACTTGCTATCCTAAGGGTGGTGGTTCGAGGCCATCCGAGCGGAGCCGTGTGCAACAGACCCACATGCCGGAGGTTCGACTCCTAACAAATATTTCCATTTAATTTTACTGCCTCACCCAGTGCGGTTGAAACCCGTGAACGTGAGCCCACTCCGTGCATGGGACGTGGTGGTCCAGGGAGTAGAGGCGTCGGTTCCCAATGCTAGGGTCGGCGGTTCGACTCCCCCAACTTCTTGCGAAATTTTGACCGGGTCGGTCGAGTCCTGTTGCGTCAAGAACCCACCTCACGCCGATCCCCTCATCATGGGCCGTGGTGGCCGAGAGCGTAAAGTCGTGTGATCCCGGGTCCGGGGATCGAATCTCATCATTTCGTTACATTTTTCGACTGCCTTCCTCCCACTGCAACTCAAACCCGTCGTCCAACACGCTGCCAGACGTACAAGCGTGATAGCGTAGTGGTCAGAGTCACATTCACCTGGCCACTCCGCTGTGGGTGTCTAAAAAGCAATCCGCTTCGGCGGGTTGGCCTCGGCACTGGAGCGATGGCGTATTTGATCCATCAATCCAGACCACCCGGTGTGTGGTTGCGGGTGGTGCCTCCTCGATTCGTCGGGGAGGCGATGATAAGTCCTTTGAAGCTGGCCTAAAACGCTGTATGTTCGGTACGGGAGCGCCGGACAGTGGGGGTACCATGGGGTACACAACCAACCCTACGAAAACAAGAAGCTCCCACCAAACCTCTTCTCTGTCTGAGTCTCTCTCTGTCTCTCTGTCGTCTCACTCTACGTCCCGCCCCTCTAAGAGCTTCACTGGGTGTTCGACCCAGCTGTCTGAGCTTTGGGGTCCTACTGGGTCCCCCGGCGAACGCTTGGGTCGCTGACGGGATTAACCCCAGGTACCTGATAGCACCGGTTCCCATCCCGAACACCGAAGTAAAGCAGGAGGCCTCCCCATTAAGACTGGGGAGGGGGTGTAGAGTTCAAATTTTTTTCTTTTCCCTTTCAAATTTCTCAGTCAATACTCGTTCGGTTTCCTTATACGGGGTAGTATGCGGGCTCATTCCAAAGATAGTAATTAAAATTGTGTATGAAACAAAATATATAGACCCGAGCGAGGTGGCCGGTGTTGGTACTTTGGTACTAGCCGTGCCGAGCTGTGGCCTGCACCGCCCGCCGCCGAGCCCGAGCTGGCCCGAGTGCCCCGGGCCGGGCCGAATCGGGAGGCATTGTTGCGCGATATTCCGCGCCGTGGGAGGGATTGTCAATGTTGCGCGCAGGCCGTGGCAGGCCGTCGCGAGCGAGGAGGAGGTGCCATTGTTTACGCCCGGTGCCGCTGGCGCTGTACCGAGGAGGGATTGTCGAATCCCGTGCAGGCTGCGCCTCATTGCCAGCCAGCCACACGCACCAGCCCGCCCCGGCAGCCAGCCCTTATTATATTGTTTAGGATACGCGCTTCGTTTCTGGACTCGAGAGTAAAAGCACGCTGACACCTTCATGTGTATAGTAGTTTTAAGTATGTTTCAAGTGTAAAGGTATCATCTGCTAAAAAGAAAAATATTTGTCACTGCAGTTTTTGTCTCCATTTTAGAAGTAAATTGACGTAGAGGTGCGTTCATGCTTCTACTCGAATTAAGAGGTGTTTCCAGTGGAGGCGCCGCGCCACCCCCCTATTGCTTCCACCCCCCACCCCTCCGCGTCCGCCACCGGGCCGCCTGCGAGGTAGGCAACCCATCGTGCGCCAGCGCTGGCGGGGTGGCGAGCAGGCGGGCGGACGGGTTGGGGCGGTCTGGTGCGGTCTGCGGGTTGGAGGGGGTTGGAGGGGTGCGGAGCGAGAGAGGCCCCTGACAGGTGCATCACGAGCGCGGCGAGAGTGGGGGAGGGCGCAGAGGGGGCCCTGCCCTGCGAGTGCGAGAGAGAGAGAGAGAGAGAGAGAGAGAGAGAGAGAGAGAGAGAGAGAGAGAAAGAGGGAGAGGGAGGGGGGTGCGTCGCTGGCACGGCCTGAATGGCAAGCGAGGGCGTTTGGCTGGATGTCAATGTCGTTCCGCGCCACGTCACATTAATGAAAATTACCATGTAATCAGACGGTGGCCACACGCCCGGCCGAGGAGGAGGAGGAGGAGGTGGTGCCCCAAATCTAAACAACAAACAACTACAAACTGAAATCTTCCGTAAAACCGGGCATCGGGCGTCGTGGTGCTCAACCCGGCCAACACGAGCCAGCGCGCTGCAGAAGGCGTAGTGGGTCGAAAGTGTGTCACAGTGGCTGCGGCGCGGACCGTACCGCCAGTGCTGCCGAAGGGCTGCGACCTCACATCCGCCGCGGAGAGAGAGAGCCATCCCAGTGGTGTTCCGAACGGCCCGTCGTCGCCCTGTCTCTCTCGCACTCGCGGGGCGTCCCGAATCGGTGCGAGAGAGACCGAGAAGTGCCGTCTCCGGCGCTAATTCACTTCCGCGCGGGCCGACGCGGCGCTCGCGGGGCGCGGCGCGACATGTTGATCTCGGCGGGGGTCTTAATGGAGCCGGTAATTGGCACGGCCATTGCCTTGAGCCGCGGCCGCGCTGCTGCGTTGCTGCTGCTGCGGCACCGCGGGGGGCGATGGTGCCTCGCGTTCGAATTGCCCGCGCGGATATTAGAGTCCGCCGAGATTTACCGGCCTGGCGGGGCCCGGCGGGGCGGGGCGGGGTCCTCATGGAGTCCTTGAGGGGCGCGGCGTGGCGCTGCTGCAGCGGGATCGCGGAGGGGGATTTGCAGCGGGGATCTATGAGGAACGGCCCGCCATAAATTACGTAACGTCGCGTACGCGGCGGCGCCACGGCCCGGCTGGGGCTGTGGGGGCTGCCGGGGCTGCTGGGGCTCATTATCGGCGGACAAACTGCACATCGGTGGCCTCGCGCTATTAATTAGCGCAGCCAAGCCTCGCAACTCTTTCTCTCTTTCCCTCCGGCACCGGCACGCTAAATCGGGAGAAAGATGAATGCTCGCTCTCTCTCGCACACACGCAGGCTTTGGGGCTCGGCCCGCCTGAATTAGCCCGCGGTGCCCCACCGGTGCGCTGCTGGCCCCGGCCCCGCAGGCCCTGCTTGGGGGGCTGAGTAATAGGCTAGATGTCGATCGGGGAGGGGAAAGGGACGCCACGAAACGCCCGAATCCAGATATGAATAGTGCGCGCGCGTCCCGCGTCGCGTAGCAGGGCCAGGCCTAGGCCCAGTCCGTCCCCCTGCGGGACCCCGAAGTCTCCCTGAAGGCTCTCCGAAGGCTGGCCGAAGCCTCCCCGAGGCCCGAGGGCGGGCACGGCGGCACGGCGGCGCGGGCATGCAGAGATAAATTGCCCCCGAGGCCGGTCGTGCCGCGCTGCCGCGTGCCGCACGGTGCCGCCGGCCGGGGCCAGTGCCTTCGAGAGCAGCTCCCCGTCAGGCCGTCGCGCGTCGCGTTCGAGGAGCGCCGCGTGGCCGCGGACCTGACGCGTGGCCATGCGCGGCGCCAACTGGCGGCGGCCGTCCACCACGTCCGCGTCGAGGCCGTCGAGGCCGTTTTCCAGGCGAGGCTCCGGCCGCCGGAGGAGCGTGACGAGCCGGCGGAAGGCGTCGGGCCGATCGAAAGGTACGTCACGTCGCGGACCTCGGCGTTGTCTGGCGGTAGGTCAAGAGGGTCTGGCGGGCCGAGGGCCGAGGGCGGCTGGGAGGCTTTGCGCGAGCCTCTTGACCCGCCGGGCTGCGCACATCACCGCACGCGGCGCACGCGTCCAGGAATACTCGGCGCTTATCGCCATCACTGCATCGCGGGGCCAGCAGACGCCCCCCCCCCCCTCCAACCGGCAGCCCGCCCTCGCCTGCGCGCCAAATTGAATCCGAGGCGTAGTTGAGATAGTCGCGGCGCTTGTCCGTCATCGCGCGTGTACGGCGTGCGCGCGGGCCGCGGCGGGGGGCGCGGCGGGGGGATCACGGCGACGGCATGGCGGCGTGGCGACCAGGATCCTGGGCCGTTATTTCGGGGACGCCGCCGACGCGGGGCGGCACACCGTCGGGGCGCCGCGCGGCACCGCCATGTCCGTTCGCTTCCGCCTCGAAAAAGATGAAGAGTTTCTCCACGACGGCGTTCATCACGCGGCCGCCGTCATTAGCGGACAGTGGCGTAGTGCGGGGAGCAGGGGGGAGGGGGGAGGACAACCCCCGACGCCTGGGGAGGGAATGCTGATCGGACTGCGGATGCGACATGGCAGCGTCTGGCGCCGCGAGTCGCGCCGACGCCGGGCTGTAAACCAGGCACTTTAGCCGAACATGCCGCGCCGGGACGCCTGTCGAATGACTCCTCCCTCAAGGCGCCGCGACGACGACGACGATGGCACGCCGCGGGCTGGCTGTTGTCAAACGCCGCACGAACGCACCGAGCAGCTGTCCCAGCTGCCGCTTTCAGGCGCGTTGAGCAGAGTGTCCAATGCGCGTCCGCGATTCCACTTGACGCGCCCCTCCCCCTCCCCCTCCACCGCCAAGGACCCGCGGACGCGCTGCAGGGCAGGACCGCGGCCGTGGCTTGCACAATGTTGTGTCGTGGTGCGTCCCCCCTCCTCTCGCCCATGTTTTCATCTGCCTCGTCACAATCCGCCTCCTACGCGGCC